GCCGTGAGCCGAAAATAATTGGCTGCCGTCCCACGCAGGCGCGGCGTAAATCGCCACCGGGGAGGGGTGAACCCTGCCAGCCTACCCACACCCCCCCGTGAAGCGTTTACTTTGCAGATCGAGGCCCCTTTTTAGATTCGCATGCAGAGTCCTTGTGTTTGACTCGGAAAACACGCTGCAGACGCGCGCTGGTGGTGTCCGCGACTTGTCGAGGGATGGGCAGCCTGCAGATAGTCAGTCCCGATTCTCCCAATGGCACGTTTGCTTACACGTTCTTTCAGTGAGGCTCAGGTGCTTGACTGCCTGCCGGCCACCCTGAAGCCGCTGTGCCGTCAGGGCTCCGGCCGCTGATATGGAACGTAACACCTGGGAAAAAGTTACTTCCTCCTGCACGCGCACCACCTCGTTCAGGCGGCGAATTTCTCCCCGATCAGCATACAGCTTCCGCTGTAAATTGCGGTTATCACTCCTTCATCATTATTAGCTGCTATTTTCATCAAAGGGTCTGACTTACTCGATTCCATGATGAGGTTACGGTATGGTTCAGTTGCGAGATTTGGTGACAAGCTCTGGAATGTGGTCCCTTAGGCGGGTTGGCATGATGAGGCTCTTTCCGCTTTACAATTTCAGAGTCAAGTGCAGAGTCAAGTTGCCCGGATTGTGTGTCCGGCTCGTTCCACTGTTACTAAGGATCCTGGCCGCTACCGAGCTCACCAGGAGATGGCGGAATATTTTTCATTGATTCATGGCGGCAGACCCGAACAGCAGAGGGCCATTAGCAACACTCACAGCGGGCACTGCTGCCACCGTCATCACACCACTGCTCAGAGCCTTGTCTGCGGGGTTTCAGGCCTTTCTTGTAGGGCGGGTATCAGTGCCAGGCCCAGCCTCCTCCCTGCCCCTTACTGCCTGAGGAAGTAGAAGCGGTCGCGTTGTGGCGCGCCACCCGGCAAGGAACGCGAGCAAGGACCGTGAAGCGTGTCGCTGCTGCGGTCGATCGGCGCCGCTGCTTCGAGCAGAAGCCCTCTCCAGCATCATCACTTGATTCCTCTTCAATCCGTCAACCACCACACCAGCGCATATCAAACCCAACAATGCACGACTTGAGACCCTCTGAGCGGAAGGCGGCCGCACAACGTCCGCAACAGACCCAGCTTGATCTCGCCGACGACAGACACACACCTCTTTCTCCACACCAAAGTTGGATTGATGGAGCATGCGAGCTTATTTCGATAACTGAAGATCCAGCACTCGAGACAGGAACCACAGAATGCCGCGTTTGCGGCAAGAAGGTCAAAAAGGATAGTCTTTCCAAGCATCAACGTACCCATAACGGAAAGAAGCCCTACAAATGCAAATTTTGCGACAAGAAGTTCTCTCAAAGTTGTAATCGTAACAGACATCAACTTATCCATACGAGGGAACAGAGCGCTAGAAGGCATATCTCACAATCACAATACAAGCCATGGAGCGCAGAAGAAGACGAACTGGCCCTGAGAAACCAACCTGTACCTGGGAGAACGGATGAAGCATGTCGGGTGCGCCGCAAAAGGCTCCACTCAAGACGACAGACTTCAAGCAGTGCTTGGACAACTGGGGAGCTTAATCCGGGCCACAATGGGATGGACGACGATACATCTAATAAGGGACAGGACAAGACCAAAGACAAGCCCGTGGAAACTGCTAAGGAGACTTGCATTCAGGAAGAGAAGTACAGCTTCTACGGTCGTGGTGGACAATATCGGACGCTCCTTCCTGAAAAGACTGCCTACAAATGTGCGGCCACGGTACAGAGCAGCAAAGAGCTTGATCTCGTGGGCGATGGAGACACACCTCTTTCACCGTCCAACCAAAGTTACGGCGGATTACAGACTCTAGGCAGGGCAACCGAGGAGCTTGATCCGGGCCACAATGGGATAAACGACGATATGTCCAACGGGAAAGAAGACGGGACTCAGGCACTCAACATCTATCGACTGACTGGAACGACGTCCCCCCCATCGCGGTCAGCACCAGCCCTTGTCGACAACGAACTTAGTCCGGCGCCTCTCCTGGATGTTGGCGACTCCGAAGATTTCCCGGATTGGGCGGATTGCCGGCCAAGTCAATACCCAGAGGGGCCATTGGAGGTTCAATCTCCAGAGGAAAGTGGATTTCACACTGAAATGAGACTCAGAGGCCTGGGCCTGCCCGGAGATCCCTCAGCGTGGGATATCGGTAAACCCCGTCCCCCCAGCGCACTGGATCTCACCTCATACGGCCAATGGGTGGCATGTGAGAGCCGAGCGGATAGTGCGGCGCTACCTGTCCGAGCAGAAACCCTCTCAGCACCATCAATACCCTCTTCCATCCGTCAACACCCCGATAATACACAAGTGGATCCACAGCTCATCGACCCTGCTTTAGCACAGCTTGATCTGGGGCACAATGGGAACGATATGTCCAATGGGGGACAGAACGGGAACCAGCGGTCCGACAACATTCCTGGTACGAAGGCCTACGCCTGCGACATTGCAGACACTAGGCAAGGCGATCTTGCTCGGCACGGTAAGTGTTGATAATACGTAGAGCTAATCCTATCTAACCCTCTACAGAGAAAACCCACACGGCCACCAAATCGGCTCACTTAGATTACGGCGTCATCGCAAAAGAAGCAGAGGATTGGAGCAAGATTCAGAAGCGCCATTATGACTGGCAGACTACGAATTTATCGGTGCGGTGAGTGCGAAGAAGACGGCTTCTTGTGGGGCCCACTCAAACAACACTACCTTCGGAAACATCCTGGCGCCAAGCCTAGCAAATGGCTGCGCCATATCCGCAGCTAGCGCCCCAGTAACTACTTCGAATGAATGGATCGCGTGGAAAGGAGAATGTCGGAAAAGGGGGGCTCGATACGTTGACTGATGGTTTCATGACGTCCCTACAGTGTACACTTTAGCTGGATTATGTATTAAATTCGATTTGTTCTCTTCTGGACAACGTGTCAATGGAGCAGCCCGATCGGGGAGGTTGCTTGCTTTTCATATCGGGGCGTGGCATGGCTAGAAAATCCGCCGGAGGCGAGCTCCAGGCTGCAGACCCTTTGGTTACTTGCCCCTAAGGACCCCAAACCTCAATCTCGCACTTCACCCGACGGCCTTGCTTGGCAGCTAGAGCCCGAGATGTAGCCGGAGCTCGAGGTGTTCTGAGCGGAGCCCAAAACGGACAAGAGGGGAAGATGAAGGGCTGGGCGAAAGCGGTCGTGTTTGCATCGCGTCGGCCACCAACTCGACCTCCCTGCATTTTCGAGGGGGTTCCGTGCTCAATGCTCACCCCCCAGACCGGGACCCAAGTTGGCAATGTGGCAGTGCGTTCTGGGTGTGTTGCCAATAGCTCTCGGGCTTCGGATACGGGACGTTCAGTCCTCTGTCCCATTTGCGGGATTCCGCATACTACTACCATCTTGGAGCAGGCACAACCAAATTCAGATGGCACCTATGCCCGGGTCTGAGAGACTCGGAGTTCTGACAAAGAGGTCTCTGTTAAGAGCAAACCTATTTGTTGCTCGCTCGCCGATCTGACACCCTACCTTCTAGTCGTGCTGCGTCACAGCTGGAGCCTTCAGGGATGCATCCGCAACGATGAATTCGTCCGTGTATGGTATAAGAAAGATGATACCTTCTGGGTTCCGAAGGCGAATCTCAGAGTTAGCTGTAAGAGCCCTATCATCTTCACATCGGCACGAAACTACGTCATGGCTATAATATGCACTGATCTAGTGCGGGATGCCCTTAAGGAGTACTTGTTACGACCTCTGGCCTGTCGACAGGCGGTCGGCAGGGTCGTTAGATAGGATGGGTGGGCAGAGAGGAGTAGTGCAGAGGCAAGTCCTTACAGACGGGGGTTCACTGGTCAAGGATGGTCGTATGTCACTATAAGACAGAGCAACACTCCAAGTGTTGGTGCAGTAGGACACAATCGAAGGTAGTTCAATTGACGAGCGAATACTTGCGTGAGGAACAGAAGGTTCCTCACACCATCGTGGGTACGATGATGGCTATCTATACTAACTAATGGAGATGTAACTTGTACCTTGATCTGTTGCTCCGTCCCTTGGTGTTTACAGATCACAGAGCAAGTGCTCTGTGGGTCTCTGCTTGATCTGTGACAGAGCGGATTCCTTGGCACAGATCACACAGTGTTAAGTGGTTGCTACACGGTGCCCTGTACTGTGGCGCCTGCGGGGACACGTCGGTCCGTTCCGGCCACAAGGGTGGCCCGCAGGTCGTCACACGATCCCCCCTCTTTAGTTTCTTTTTCCACAAAGAATTGCGACCGTAAGTTCTTCCTTCCAACGATTTCGCCATGCCTCGTTACCGTATTGACAAGTGTAGGCCTTCTTCTACCGATCGTCGTAAGGACCTTGCAGCCCGTATTTCTGTGTTCGGCCGAGAGATGTCTCCCTGCACTCGGTGCAAACAATCCCAGCGCAAGTGCCTTGCGTCATCCGACTCCGATTCCTGCTCCGCTTGCCGATCCGCGAACGTCTACTGCGACGCCTTTGGGAACAGTGCGGATTTTTGGCAGAAACTGATTTCTCAAAAGGAGAAATTGGATAAGGCCCGGAGCGAGGCGTCGGACGAAATAACTGCTGCTCAGAGATCTCTAGCCGCTGCTCTTTCCAAGGCGCAGCGACTCGAGCGACAACTGAAGGTGATCGATGACAAGGCTCATGCTGCGTTTGGCAAGGATCTGGAAGTGATCCAGTCCTTGGAGGCTGAAGAGGCGCGGACTGGTTTCTCCCCCGAGGCGATGGTCGAGTCGTTCGACTGGGGTGCCTTCTTGAATGGTGACACAGCTGCGGGGTCGCCGCTACCGGCGGCAACTACTTCCTAAGGTAGGTTGTCGCTTCTTTTAGCTTCGGTTCGGTGTTGACAGTCGTCCAGATCCACTCTGGGGAAGGTAGGCCAGCTACCAGGGCTAAGGGTTATGGTAACGAAGGTGAGTTCCAACAATGAAATGGTCCGTTGGCGCAGGGGTCAGCGCGCTCGTTCTGCGTCATCCTTTGTGAATAATCCAGGCTTATTCACAAGGGTTGTTTTAGCGAGAGGTCGTGGGTTCGAATCCCACATGGGCTACTACCCTCAACTTGCTGTTTCTCCTGCCAGGTGAAACCGCAAGTTGAGCGGTTCTTTTTGCATGGCTAACAATACCATCATAGTGCCCTTCGCGCCGTGGTCCTCTGGGGGTGGCGTCTTTTTGCTGGTTGTGGTCGATCTGGATTTTCGCGGTGGAATTTCTCGATTAGTTCAGGGCAGGAGAGATTGTCGACTGGCTCCCAAGAGTTCGACTCGGGGCCGTAGTCTAGCCATCTGATGAGATAATGAAGTTTGCCTTTGCGATATTGTGAATCCAGGATTTCTTCGACATCGAAGTCTTCTTCGTCGGCGTGCACTTCGATCTTCTTCTCGAGCGGGACGTTCCTTGGTGCTGGCTCGAGGAGGGAAACGTGAAAAACCTTGGTCCGTACCTTCATGGAGGTGGGTAGATCGAGTTCGTAATTGGAGGTAGCGATCTTCCTTTTGACGAGGAACGGTCCGAGTTTCTTGAAGTCGAGTTTACGGCTCGGTCGTTGGGTGTGTAAATTTCGCGAAAAAAGGTAGACTGGGTCTCCTTCCTGGAGAGTCGGTCCCTCGGCTCTTTTATTATCGTAGTATCCCTTCATTCGTTCGCGGGTGAATTCGAGTTCGGCCCTCAGGTGGTCGTGCAGCTCCTGAAGTCGGTCGGCTCGGACGGCGGCTCGGGGCGCATTCGTAGGTGGCCCCCTGCGGAGCTCCGGTTCCCGGCCGAAAAGTGCGAAGAATGGGGAGATCTTGGTTGACTCGACGATAGTGGTATTGTAGGCTATCTGTGCTGTTGGCAACAGCTCAAGCCAGTTGTCTTGTTCGAAGTTGACAAACGCTCGGAGGTATGTTTCAAGGGTCTGATTCAGGCGCTCCGTTTGTCCGTCGGTCTGGGGGTGAAAGGCTGTTGACAGCTTGCTCTTCACACCCATTCGTTGCATCAATCCTTGCCAGAACTTGGAGACAAACAGCTTGTCTCGATCGGAAACGATATCGTCAGGCCAAAGGTGTTGGGAGACGATATGCCGCTCGAAGAGGTAAGCAAGTTGTTCGGCTGTCGTTCGTGTTGAGCATGGCAAGAAATATGCCCATTTCGTCATTCTGTCGACGACTACCCAAATGGAGTCGTAGCTGACGTTTGTTGCTGGATCCTTAGAGTCGGGGATCCCAGTGATGAAGTCCATCGAAATGGAACTCCATGGTGCGCGGGGGGTTGGAAGTGGTTCGAGAAGCCCGTAAGGCTTATGTCTGCGTGTTTTCGTTCGGTTGCAGACATCGCAGTTATCGACAACCTCTTCCACCAGTTTTTTCATTCCTGGGAAGGCGTATCCTTGTTGTGCTTGTGAAAGCGTTTTTGCTCTTCCCATGTGTCCTCCAACTCTTGCTCCGTGTACCTGTTGAATGTACTTCTTCCGCTTCGAGGGTGTGTGGATGTAGGGTTTCCCTTTGTAGAAGAGGAGATCACTCGATCGGGGTCCTCCTTCTATTTCTTTCAATAGTTCGTTGGTCTTTTCGCAGTCTGGGCAAGGTCCTCTGACTTGGCAGGAGGTGCCACAGTACCCGGGGAAGTCCTGCCTCTTTGCCTGATAGTCGTCCTGTTGCCATTTAACACGGTATTCTTGGCAGGAGTTGGTGAAGAGTTGAATACTATCGTTGACTTCCCAGTCCGGGTATTGGTTCATGAAAACCTGTGCCTCTTCTGGCATCCAGTCGTCTGAGACTTGTGGTGTATGTTCCAGGGTTCCATCGGCTGCTAGAACAAACATTGTGACTGGTTCGAGGTCTTTGGCGTTCTCCTGGTGGTCGTGGCGACGGCTAAGGGCGTCAGCTCTTCCGTTTTCCGTTCCCTTGACGTGGTGGATCTTGAAATGGAATGGTGCCATTAGCTCAGCCCATCTTGTTTGCCGGGGACTGAGTTTCTTCGTCAGGAAATAGCGTAGGTTGTCATGGTCGGACAGGACCTCGACTGGTTCCTCTGTGCCACTGAGGTAAGGAGCCCATTCCGTGAAACACCAGATGATGGCCATTAATTCTTTATCGTGGATGGGGTATCTTAGTGCTGGTCCGTGGATTCCTTTTGACAAAAAGGCCACGGGGTGTCGGAGTCCATCGGCTCCGATCTGGCTCAGCACTCCGCCGCAGGCGAAATCGGAAGCGTCGGTCTCAACCCTGAAAGGTTTCGAGAAATCGGGGAGTGCTAGTACTGGTGCTGTTGTGAAGGCGTGTTTTAACTCGTCGAACGCCTTTTGTTGTCGTTCTGTCCATACGAACGGTTTTCCTTCGCCCGTGAGCTCGTGGAGCGGTTTAGCAATCTTGGCGAAGTGTCGTATGAACCGTCGATAGAAGTTTGCAAAGCTAATAAAGGCTTGAACTCCTGTTTGTGAAGTGGGTGTCGGCCAGTTCGTGACTGCCTCGACCTTTGACTTCTGCATCTCTATCCTTCCGGGTGAGATTCTGAATCCTAGGAAATCGAGTTCCTGGACGTGGAATTGGCTCTTGTTGGGGTTCACCGTTAAGTTGGCTTTTTCCAGGGCGGAGAGGACGAGATGGACATGTTTGCGATGTTCCTTATCTCCTTTCGAGTAGACGAGGATATCGTCAAGGTAGACGAACACAAACTTGTCGATAAAGGGGCGGAGAACGTGGTCGATCATGCTCTGGTACGTTGCGGGGGCGTTGGTGAGCCCGAAAGGCATCACCCGATATTCGTAGTGGCCCAGGCGTGTTCGGAATGCGGTCTTCCACTCGTCTCCTGCGGCGATTCGTTTGTGACCGAACGCGTTTGGAGAATCGAACGAGGAGAACCGATCTGCCCCGGCGATCCTCTCTCCAAACTCGTTAATCAGGGGCAGCGGGTATCGATTCTTGATGGTAACTTCGTTTAACGAACGGTAATCGACTACCATGCGCAGTTTGCCGTCCTTTCTGGGTACGAACAATACTGGGTAACCTGCCGGTGACTGGGATTTCTGGATGAATCCTAGGGCAAGGTTTTCTTCGATGTACTCCCGGAGGGCCTCGGCTTGCCGAGGGTTGAGGTGGTATGTTGGGAAGGATTTCAACTGAGCCCCTGGCTTCAGTTCGATCTTATGGTCGAAGGGTCCGTGGTCCGGCAAGCGTAGCAGCTTCTCTCCAAACACTGAATACTTCCGGTATTCCTTCGGAACCTTGGACAGGCTATCCGGAGCCTGTTGTTGCGGCTGGGCATCTCGTTGTCCTGCCGTCTTCTTTGGTGGTTGTCGACGCAACTGCACCTTCTGGTCGTCACCAGATTCGTAACCTGAGTCGTGCGGATCGTCCGTCTCATGAAACCGTATCCACAGTGGGGATAGTTCATCGACCTCAGCGTTCTTCGGGTCGTCCTCAGCGGGTACGCTATCCGGTTTAACACCCATATTATACCGTTCGGTATGCCCCTGTGGTATACTGGTTGGTATAATCCGGCTACTGGAGCCTGGATCCTTGGGTTCTTCCCGTCGGCTGAAACTTAGCTGGCCAGCGTTCCAGTCGATCGCGGGGTTGTACTTCTTCAGCCATGGCTTGCCTAGGATTATGTCGTAGCCAAAGACTGGTAGGATGTCGAAGGTCACTTGTTGTTCGTTGCCGTCCACCGTGATCAAAAGTGGTGCCTCGTGAGTGAGCTTCCCGTTATTGTAAGCGTAGAGTTCTCCTTCTCCAGAGCGGATTGTCGTTTCTTGCGCTCGTTTTCGGTAAGGGAGTTGTTTCTTGTTGACCAGCTTGGGGTCAATGATATCGGCAGCGCTGCCGCTGTCGATTATTGCTCGTGCGCGGAATGGTTTCCCAAGCCCATCCGTTGCGTCCACATAGACAGACCAATGGTTTCTTTCTTCCTCGAGGTGGGTCATCATGATGGTTCTGTCATTAAGAGGTCTTCCTTGGCCTAGCCGACGAGTGCCTCTTCTTCGTCTCGTGGCTTTTGCCAACCAGCGGTTCACTGGTTTCCGGCCCTGGCGGAGGGCCTGAATCCGTTTCCCAGGCGGATTCGGGGGTGAGCTTCATGGATTGCTCGGACGTGGTACGTGAGGTGCTCGGCATCCTTCCTCAGGTTCCAATCGGCTTCTTGGGCTTCGATGGCGCACATTCGCCTGAACTCGGGGATGAGCGGCCATGCGTTGTTTCCGAAGACGCTGTTTTCGTACGTTCCTTGGTGGAACCGGTGATGCCAATCACGGGTCTTAAGGTCCTGGTGGATAGGGCAGGAAGGACGGGGACATCGAGCCAACGTCTGTTCCTTCCTTCCCTCATCCGTACATGCCACAGGGATGTTGTTGAACAGCGTGAGGTTTGTTCCTCCTGAAAGTACCTGGTAGTGACTCTGAGGCATACCCTCATAAACACAGGCCACGGATCCTCCTTCTTGGATGGTGGGCCAGTGATCATAGTATGTCTTCATTCCCCTGTGGGCGGGGAGGTCGCAGAAGTCGTGGACACAACTGATCCAAAGGATCTTCGAATGTTCTTCCTCTCCTCGGAGGGCCCCGAGGGTGGAGGTGCGTAAGTCGAGGCTTGGCATGCTGAGCGTTCTTCCAGCCGTTGTTCGTTTCACCACGGGAATCTCTTCCCAGTCTCCCCAATGGTAGACGGAGCTGGGGGGGTTGTAGATTCCTTCTGCCCTCTGTTCGAATTCTAGTTCGTTGACGAACCTTCTCATGGCGTTGCAGAATTGTCCTCGGAGGGTGAGCGTTATGGACGTTTCGGTTGCCGGGTTTATGCTTTCCTTGACTACACGAATCTCGGTCAGTGCTTTCTGGTAAAGCGATTCCGGTCCGTAGAATGTGTGGTGGTTCCCTAGGTATCTGGCCATGGAAACTCGGGCTTGCCGTACGTTAGGAAATTGGTAGTAGTTTCTGGGAGAGACACTCCCCAGGCCACCTGCTGGCGCGTTTCTGTTAGAGGCGGCCCATTCCCGGTGTTGTTGACGCTCCTTCTCGGCGTCAGGCAGGCTTTCGTACAACATGCTTTGTACGTAGTGCTCCCGTGCTCTCTGGACCCAT